ATATATATATATATATACTATATATATATATTATATATGATATATATATATATATATTATATATATATATATATATATATATATATATTATATATATATATATATATATATATATATATTATATATATATATATATATATATATATATATTATATATATATATATATATATATATATATATATATATATATATATATATATATATATATATATAATATATATATATATATATATATATATATATATATATATATATATATATATATATATATATATATATATATATATATATATATATATATATATATATATAATATATATATATATATATATATATATATATATATATATATATATATAATATATATATATATATATATTCGGCTATATACTTTTTAATTACCTGAAGATAATTTGTTTTTTTTTGTTTTGTGCTTTGTTTTGTCTATTTCATGGTATTTAAATCATATCTTACAATAACTCTATGGAGAGATTGACAATCGCTACGTTTTTTCTTTCATTATCCTGAATATTGAGGTTTTTATAAGTAAGGTTTCTTTAAAGAATCATCTACATATTAAACAATCATACACAATTTATTTTGCTTCGTTGCATCTTTTGCATAACGGGCAAATTAGTTATGCACTTTTAAGAAGCTTTTTTGAAATGCAGTAAAAATTCAACAGACACTACAATTATAGCAATTCGAATCAAAACTTTTTGGAAATATAGATCCGTTGATGAGAAGTATTACTTTTAACTACCTACATCCAAATTTTCAGTTTCACAATAATTTATGCAACGTATTGAATGGATTTCGCTTTTAGTATATGTTATTGCTTTTCTTATGCGGTTTCTACTACAAAAATCCTTGACGGCTTCTTTAAAATTCATGTATACCTAACTTAGTTTGGAATGGCAGATTTTCAAAAAGTTTTCTACTGTCATTATGGCTGCAAACTGGAATCAATGTTGTGGTGGGATTTCTCTTACGTTATATAATGTTAGTGCATCGGTTAAATGAGAAAAGTTTCCTATTGAATCGAGTTGTTTTCGAATTCGTACGTAATTTAGTTTTCGACATGTTTGAAGATCTATCGAAACGGATGCACGTTCGGACATGTTTCTTTATTTACGGTCTGTTTGCTTATAAATAGACGAATATATGAGTGGAAATACCGCGGATCATTTTACTTTACATTTCACGCTCCATTTTTCAGGAAAATCCGTTTAAACGCAGAATATTTGAAGTGTTCTCGAGAGACGGAAAGGGTAATTTGACATTTGAGGACTTCTTGGATATGCTTTCAGTTTTCAGTGAAGCGGCACCACGTGATATTAAAGTGTTTTACGCCTTCCGTATATACGGTGAGCATAATCTTTTACCGATTTGCTTAAAAAAAAAGTGTATAGGATGGGCCGTTTATCTTGGGACAGTGCCTTATCTCAGAAACTATAGGCAACAGAGCCAAAAGTAAAATACAGGGTGTTTCATTTTTTGTGTGCAAGTATCAACTTTCTTATTTTAAGTGGAACACTTGGTATAGTCCTTCTTTTTTGAATTCTGTACAAAATTTACAATTTACAATTACAACCTTATATAAAATTGCCTTAATTTTTAATGCTAAATATGACAAGATTATAAAAATGGGTAGGTTTCATTTAAAAAAAATTTTTCATTCGTGTACCCTGTATTAATATGTCCTTCGGCGACAACAAAACTTACTCAAGTGAAACAGTAAATGCCTCCGAATGAAGAAATTGGCAGATATTTTAAGTAATGCAAACGTCATTTTTCGCATAAAAAATTAAAAATGTCCAAAACGGTTACACTTAGGTATATATATGTCAAGAATTTTATATAGAATGCAAAAACCAAGTAGTATACCAGGTGTGCCATTTAAAATAAGAACGTTGAGATTCACACACGAAAAATGAAACAAACTGTATATACAAAATTAAAATAAATTAAAAGTTCCGAATACCCAAATTAACTTTTGCATTTAATTTTTGTCTCCATCCCTTATACTTTCTGAGGTAAGGTTGTGTCCCAAGATAAACAGCCCGCCCTATACAGTGTGTGTAATTTTCAAGACTTTTTGTGAAACGAACGATAGCATAAATAGATTTTTGGAAAAGTTCCATTTTAACGTACTGCCTGTATCTGTTGGATTTGATAACGTATCGAAAATAACCGTTGCTTGTTTAGTTTTTAGCGTAGAATTCATAATAAATATACGAGGTCAGGTCAAAAAGTTATTGGACACTACTGTTGTAAATGCTACGCCGTCTACAGGGTGGCGTATTCAGATAATGCCCCAAATTCTAATATTACTTTTATTTAAAAATTGATTCCAGTTAATGAAGGCACGAAGTATTAATTATACAATTAGTTTACTTTTTAGAAAGAATCAAAAAATGCACCACAATATAGGGTGTCCAATTTAGAATTTCATTGTTGATAGTTGTAGTAGGGACACCCTATAGTTAAAACAACAAACTCAATTTAAACCCCACAACATTTGTATAATTTTATTTGGAAGAATTTGGTTTTTACAAAATATTTCTTAGTCCACCCCTGATTCAGGCCACAGTGTACACAGTCTACTCAAATAGAAATAGAAAAAATCTCCACCCGATTAAGACTATTTGTTTGAAGGATGATGTAAGGGAGTTGTTACAACTATTTATTTGGACTTCCATTACCACTGCCAATAAAAACGTCGATATAATTAAAAATGAAGACAATGACAAAAACAAATAATTTAGAGAATAATGTGTTATTTCAAAAAAACAACAACAACACCTTGTATTTTCAATAACGTATCTTTTTGAATTAAAAGTCTATGTCTAATCACTTTGGCCATTTTTTATAAGATCAATTTTAGAGTTTTTCAATGAATTTTTATAAACGGCACCGAATTCTACTTGAAAAGTTATATAAGTTTTCAGCTTTTTAAATAAAGAAGATACAGGGGGTACTCTGAAAAGTGTTGTATCTCAAAAACCGAAATTGCTTCTGAAATCCCGATTGTTCCATGTTTCGTTTCGCAAATCCGTATCTTTTTTAGAAAAGGAAATACCGATACAAGTGCACATAGTTTCCATTTTTACGGATTGTCTTGGTTATTTGTTATAGTCAGAAACTAGGGTCAGTGGAAAATCTGAAAAAAATTCGTGGAATGTTACTAAAAGCCTCGAAAAATGTTTATTAACGCTATATTAATGTGTTTATTTTCTTGATAACAATAACATAAAGTATACTCAATTGGATTTAACTATTTTCTATCGTGAAAAAATTTTTGTATACTAAACAAAAAAATTTGTCTGTATTCTGATTTCGAGGGAGTAGGAGAGTCTTGAAGTTCCTTCCGTTAAAATTGTGTTTCAGATTTCGATAATGATGACCATATAGGTCCAGAAGATATAGATTCCGCACTTAAATTGCTCACTGGACAAGAACTAACCGTAGAAGAGAGACAACAGATTGTTGAAAAAGTAATAGAAGAATCTGATGTCGATGGTGACGGGAAACTTTCTTACATGGAACTCGAACATTGTATAACGAGAGCTCCCGATTTCTTGTCCACTTTCCATATACGCGTATAATGTGAAAATTAGTTAATTAGGGTATGTTGTTTTGGGTATTAATAAAAACGTTTCGTAGAAGAGAATAGCTTTATTTATAGAAAAATTAAACAAGCTAGATCACAGAGTTAGTAGATAAAGACAGATGAAGATCGTCTGTTGTATTGTACTTTGACGTTAGGTTTGACAAATTTGGGGTTGAACGGCCCTAATGCGTCTTCGTTCGTCGAGGAAGGGGATTTATGTTCCTTTAAAATGTGTAGCTGCTTGCACATCGAAAACACTCCTGCAACAAAAATAATATAAAAAGGTAAGGAAAAACAAGTTTTTCTAAATATAAGCTGAAATGGAAGTCTAGAAATTTGCGATATCTATCAATGCAAGTAAAATTCTTTTATTATACATAATGTACAAAATCTAGCTCTCTAAAACCCCAAATAAAGCTACGAAACGTCGACTTTTAACATAGTCTTTCGAAGCGTGTAGGAGCTTGGCTACATTTTTCAATACGTTCTTGGAGAGGTACTCGATTTTTAAACAATGCTTCTGGATTGCTTTTTGATTTCAATGACAGCTGCTTGCAGACTTCCAGACAATTCGTGGGGGAAATCAACACTTTTTTCGTATTTTACAAAACAACATCGGAATATCCTAAAGTTCAAAAAGTATATTTTTTCTGTGGAAAGGAATAATCAGCGGAGTAGACGACTTTATAAATTAGTAAGCATATCAAAATAATTATATTGAAAAACATTAAATATCTTAATAATCACTAAAAAATCGTAGTAATCTTTAAAAAATCACCGAAATTATATTATTAAATCCGAATTAATCCCTCTATTTGACATAATCTACATCGACTCTAAATGCCTATGCAAAAATAAAACATATCTTCTTAATAATAATATTCTGCGGATATGTATGTATTTTATACATGTTGGGGTTTTCCTACTGACGTGCGAGAGATTAGAATCAATAAATTGGTAGATATCCATCTATCTATTTATTTGGAATAAAAATGGAAAAATTATAAAGAAAAATTTGAATGTTGTACTTTAGGCGCAAGCTCTAAAAACGATGCTAAAAATTTTTGTTATATAAATTATTTATTGTAAAACACGGTTATTTCATAGTGCCTATAAGTTTCGGTGTTTGCCGAGCTTTTATTGTTAGTTATTATTTCTTTTTATTGGGCATTATGTGCTTATAAAGCATAAATTCTGAAGCGAGACTTCTTTAAAAAATCTTGACAGGAAACAACAATCCTAAACTAGCTGATAAAATTAATGTACTGACTGGACCATATTTTGTATAACTTGTTGCCGGTTTACCTTACCTCCAAATCTGAGTGTTATAAAAAAAGTGTGAAGGAAAAAGTTGTTTCCAGTAAAATGATCTTGAATTTTGTGTATTATTTCAATTGTCACTCAATTATAAGCAGGGTGGCCAATAAAGTTACATTTTTCAAAATAAATAAAATAAATATCTATATATCGCTCTCTAATTCACCGGGATTAAGGTCTTTGTTACGTTGCATTTAAAAAATTTTAACATAATTTTAAAAATTGAAATATTTTTATGAAATACACGTTGCTGCCATGCAAAATGTTTATTTAATTTAACTATTTTTTTTAAACAAACGCTCTTTATAGTTTTGCATTTTCGGATAGACTTTAAAAAGACAAATCCAGCGATATATATTTCAAATTTATTGGTGATTGTTATCAATTCCGAGGAAATATTAACTCAATTCATTACATTTCTTAGCTCTTTTATGAAATTGCTGGTTATTTGAAATTCCGTTAAATATTGTAAAAAAAATATATTAGAAAATAAATAAATGAATAAATATTATTTCAATCAATCATTGAGGTGTTTTCTCATTTGAAAATGTATAGAAAATGTTTATATTGAAAATAATAAAAGTCCGAAGGTATAGAGCCAAATTTCCTGAAACCTCCACCCATCTAGCAGCTTCAGATCTGGACTTAAACAAGCGGATTTTAATTTAAGGTTAGAGTTTTGTAACTTGATGGATAGATATTTCTTGGATAACATCTTTCAAAATGTCATTTGGACTGACGAATTGATATTTAAAAGAGCAGTAACATTCCTGGAACAGAACATCCCTATTTGATAAACAAAATTGCTTTCGAAAAATCGTCGCTGGGCGGGTTAAGTTCGAAGGGCCTAGTTTTTGAATTTGCGACGTACATTTTTGAAAAATTTTCTGCGTCTTCTTGTTTTAGGTCGCGTAAACCGGTTTGGAGAAATGATTTTTTCTTAGATCCTGGCAAACGCGATTTTTTATTTTTTGAAAATACTTCCCGACTCCCCAGTCGTCCCAATTTCGATAGGTCCCGTCAGGGAACAAAGCTTTATACGTGTGCCAAAAATGGAATAGATAGTTTCAACTTTCGAACACTTATCGTTTTTCATAGGAATGTAAAAAAATTGTCGAAAAAAGAAAAAAAAAAGATGGACGCTGAGTTCTGATCGCTGTCATTTTTATTGACTTGTGTGTTCCGCGGGCTTATTAACGGGAGCCAAATTTGAACATGGTTCGTCAAACCGCTCGAAACTTATGGCCAATTAATACCGCGTCTGCTGAGAAACGGAGAACAGAGAACGGAAAAGACACCAAAAAATTTTTTTTTCGACGCCGATCATTTCTGTACCAATGGCGGTCCTTTAGAACCAACCATTGCAGAGATATAGTAATTTTTAAACGGACATTTTTGACAATGAATTGGGCAAAATGGCACCATTTTGTGGTCACCAAGGAGCCCGGATTTAAACCCACTATACTTCTTTTTACGGCGCCCTTTAAAAGAAATAGTATACTAAAATAAGTCGATAGAGGTTTTTTGCATTACAACAACAAGTTCTGGAAGGATTTAACCAATTAAATGCGACCAATTATATATTAAATACCAATACATGTGGAAAATTTAATATAAAATTAAAGTTTTATAATTAAAAAGTTTTGTGTCAAATGTTGATGCCGTTTTAAAAATAAAATGATCTAAAATTTGACAAAAAATGTTAAAGATGCTTTTAGAATTAATGGTAATTGTATGTTAAAGGTCATATGTAGGGTGTTTGATTTCAAAACAATTGAGAGGAATAACATAATTCAAAACATTCCGTTGATAAAAATATTTCAATCTTGAATATTGCCTGAGAAACAATATTATTTTATGAATTATGTTAAACAGAAAAATGTTTTAAAAGTTAATAAACTATGTAACAATAACCTTTTCAACATAACCTGAATCCCGAAGATTTTCGCTAATAACGGTGCATTGGAGGCCAATATTATTATATATTATTTTATTTACTTTAGGAGTATTTAAAAATTAAAAAATAGGGTTTTCCATTTAAAAAATATAGCTTTATTCGACAACCCTGTGTGTAACTGAGTAAATAGAAAAATTAACGAAACATTTTTTTTTAAATCTCATAGTTTTCGAAATAACAAAACCAAAAATATTTGATAACAGCTGTGAGCTATTTTCAACATTGCAACTTTCAACATTGCAACTTTCAACATTGCAACTTGGCTTTAAAACTTTTATGAACTTAATATTGGCGCACCTTATTATAACTGGGACGATATTGCCCCATTGTACTTTGTTATCATTGATAATATTTTAATATCGAGATTTGGTTTTCATATTGGTTCTCGGTGTTCATCCAGATCGATAATTCCCCGTGATCCCCAACGAAGATCTCTCCTCAGTTATTTTCCAGACTATAAAGATTTTTATGTATTTTAAACGTAGATACGAGAATTGGCGTTCCGTTTTAATACCGACTGCACGTGCCCTTCTATATACCACCCTTTGCGTCATTGTTTTACTTGATGTATATTACCTTTTGTCCAGTTGCGGTCCATGCTGGCCAATGAAAGAAATGGGCTAATGCCAGAATGCAGTAATCCGAAACTCTGGGCAAACTGTAGCAAACCAGGGCTGACTCCATCTTCAGATATTAAATCGATAAGTTCGCATATAGTATCGGGCATCCAGAGAAAAAAGAAAAACATCGCCATCAACAGCATAAAATACCCCAGACGTTTTCTATTCTTCAATGTTTTCAATGCTGTACCCTCGGGTACTGCTGTTGCATCTGTCGCTTCCATTTCGTCCTGTGGAAATCAATAAATACACCTCATACTCTTTTATGTTAGTTTGTAAATCCATTAAAATTACTACATTATTTGGATCACTATTATTTTGAGCAATTGGTGCTAGTAACTTGATTAAAATAATTGAAAATTAAAAATCGCATCTGTAATAACAAAATTAACAAAAATCTTACTATAGCATATTATTCATAATTATTCATATGTATTGTTTGCAATTAATACTTGGTAAAATCAGCCAATAACTCAAAGTTAGAAAATGGCGACATACTTGTACATCTTTATTTAGAGGAACTAAAATTTTTGTTTTATTTTTTAAATAACAAAATTAATTTGGGGCAGTTTAAAAAAAAAGAAAAAGTGTTCTTACAAAATTTAAATACAAATTAATGCTTGGTAAAATCAACAAATAACTCAAAGTCGGAAAATGTTAGCCCTGTAAATCAGTTTTAATTAATTCTTCATGAATTATAATTAAAAGTGTGGAAAGATTCTTGTACATCTTTATTTAGAAGAATTGCCATAATTAAAATTTTTATTTTATTTTTTTTAAATAAAAATGGGCAAATTTTTTAATTTTTAAAAAAATATTGTAGGCTTACAAAATTTAAATACAAAAATAAGGTAAAATTAAAATCAAGGTTAGTAGCCATGTATTGTTTGCAACTAATGCTTGGTACAATAAACAAATAGCCCAAAATCTGAAAATATTAGACCTGTAAATCAGTTTTAATTGAATTATTCAAAGTACGGAAAGATGCATGTATAGCTTTAATTAGAAGAAATACTGTAACTAAAATCTATGGTTTGGTTTTTTTATTTGCCAATTTAATTTATTAACAAATTTAACAAATGGACCATTTTTTTAAATTTTTGAAAAAATATTGTAAATAAATGAAATTCAAAACAAATGACTTCTAAGAAAAGTTATTTTCTACATTTTGAGATAAGGTAAACTACTTTATTTTGCATAATTTTGTTGATATGCCATACAATTAGAAATGTGAAAGATTTTAAATTGGAAAAATAAGCGACTGCTGTACTGAGAGTAATTCATATTATCCATATATTTATTTAAATTATTTGTACGAGATTGCCAAAATCAATATATGTTTTGTAATAGACAGAATATAGGTTCTTGTGTCTACTGGAACAATAACAATTTTGGTATTTCGAATGGAAAATTCTAAATAAATTTCTCGTTAAAAATAACATAACAATAATAACATTTGGCAGAACACATTGGCAAACAGTGCGGTTAGACCTAACAGAAGTTTTGAATAAATTGTTTATTTAATTTAATTACTTTTTGGAGCTGGTCTCTCAAAAACCAAGACGATATACTTTGAGACACACTATACTAGACATTACACTGCCGCTACACTGTTCATTCCGTTCGTATGGTTTTAAATAAAGTCTCTTTTCCATAAAAAACGGATCAGCATGGATTAACGAATATATGCGAATTTTTCATTCGTGTACCCTGTATTAATATGTCCTTCGGCGACAACAAAACTTACTCAAGTGAAACAGTAAATGCCTCCGAATGAAGAAATTGGCAGATATTTTAAGTAATGCAAACGTCATTTTTCGCATAAAAAATTAAAAATGTCCAAAACGGTTACACTTAGGTATATATATGTCAAGAATTTTATATAGAATGCAAAAACCAAGTAGTATACCAGGTGTGCCATTTAAAATAAGAACGTTGAGATTCACACACGAAAAATGAAACAAACTGTATATACAAAATTAAAATAAATTAAAAGTTCCGAATACCCAAATTAACTTTTGCATTTAATTTTTGTCTCCATCCCTTATACTTTCTGAGGTAAGGTTGTGTCCCAAGATAAACAGCCCGCCCTATACAGTGTGTGTAATTTTCAAGACTTTTTGTGAAACGAACGATAGCATAAATAGATTTTTGGAAAAGTTCCATTTTAACGTACTGCCTGTATCTGTTGGATTTGATAACGTATCGAAAATAACCGTTGCTTGTTTAGTTTTTAGCGTAGAATTCATAATAAATATACGAGGTCAGGTCAAAAAGTTATTGGACACTACTGTTGTAAATGCTACGCCGTCTACAGGGTGGCGTATTCAGATAATGCCCCAAATTCTAATATTACTTTTATTTAAAAATTGATTCCAGTTAATGAAGGCACGAAGTATTAATTATACAATTAGTTTACTTTTTAGAAAGAATCAAAAAATGCACCACAATATAGGGTGTCCAATTTAGAATTTCATTGTTGATAGTTGTAGTAGGGACACCCTATAGTTAAAACAACAAACTCAATTTAAACCCCACAACATTTGTATAATTTTATTTGGAAGAATTTGGTTTTTACAAAATATTTCTTAGTCCACCCCTGATTCAGGCCACAGTGTACACAGTCTACTCAAATAGAAATAGAAAAAATCTCCACCCGATTAAGACTATTTGTTTGAAGGATGATGTAAGGGAGTTGTTACAACTATTTATTTGGACAATGACAAAAACAAATAATTTAGAGAATAATGTGTTATTTCAAAAAAACAACAACAACACCTTGTATTTTCAATAACGTATCTTTTTGAATTAAAAGTCTATGTCTAATCACTTTGGCCATTTTTTATAAGATCAATTTTAGAGTTTTTCAATGAATTTTTATAAACGGCACCGAATTCTACTTGAAAAGTTATATAAGTTTTCAGCTTTTTAAATAAAGAAGATACAGGGGGTACTCTGAAAAGTGTTGTATCTCAAAAACCGAAATTGCTTCTGAAATCCCGATTGTTCCATGTTTCGTTTCGCAAATCCGTATCTTTTTTAGAAAAGGAAATACCGATACAAGTGCACATAGTTTCCATTTTTACGGATTGTCTTGGTTATTTGTTATAGTCAGAAACTAGGGTCAGTGGAAAATCTGAAAAAAATTCGTGGAATGTTACTAAAAGCCTCGAAAAATGTTTATTAACGCTATATTAATGTGTTTATTTTCTTGATAACAATAACATAAAGTATACTCAATTGGATTTAACTATTTTCTATCGTGAAAAAATTTTTGTATACTAAACAAAAAAATTTGTCTGTATTCTGATTTCGAGGGAGTAGGAGAGTCTTGAAGTTCCTTCCGTTAAAATTGTGTTTCAGATTTCGATAATGATGACCATATAGGTCCAGAAGATATAGATTCCGCACTTAAATTGCTCACTGGACAAGAACTAACCGTAGAAGAGAGACAACAGATTGTTGAAAAAGTAATAGAAGAATCTGATGTCGATGGTGACGGGAAACTTTCTTACATGGAACTCGAACATTGTATAACGAGAGCTCCCGATTTCTTGTCCACTTTCCATATACGCGTATAATGTGAAAATTAGTTAATTAGGGTATGTTGTTTTGGGTATTAATAAAAACGTTTCGTAGAAGAGAATAGCTTTATTTATAGAAAAATTAAACAAGCTAGATCACAGAGTTAGTAGATAAAGACAGATGAAGATCGTCTGTTGTATTGTACTTTGACGTTAGGTTTGACAAATTTGGGGTTGAACGGCCCTAATGCGTCTTCGTTCGTCGAGGAAGGGGATTTATGTTCCTTTAAAATGTGTAGCTGCTTGCACATCGAAAACACTCCTGCAACAAAAATAATATAAAAAGGTAAGGAAAAACAAGTTTTTCTAAATATAAGCTGAAATGGAAGTCTAGAAATTTGCGATATCTATCAATGCAAGTAAAATTCTTTTATTATACATAATGTACAAAATCTAGCTCTCTAAAACCCCAAATAAAGCTACGAAACGTCGACTTTTAACATAGTCTTTCGAAGCGTGTAGGAGCTTGGCTACATTTTTCAATACGTTCTTGGAGAGGTACTCGATTTTTAAACAATGCTTCTGGATTGCTTTTTGATTTCAATGACAGCTGCTTGCAGACTTCCAGACAATTCGTGGGGGAAATCAACACTTTTTTCGTATTTTACAAAACAACATCGGAATATCCTAAAGTTCAAAAAGTATATTTTTTCTGTGGAAAGGAATAATCAGCGGAGTAGACGACTTTATAAATTAGTAAGCATATCAAAATAATTATATTGAAAAACATTAAATATCTTAATAATCACTAAAAAATCGTAGTAATCTTTAAAAAATCACCGAAATTATATTATTAAATCCGAATTAATCCCTCTATTTGACATAATCTACATCGACTCTAAATGCCTATGCAAAAATAAAACATATCTTCTTAATAATAATATTCTGCGGATATGTATGTATTTTATACATGTTGGGGTTTTCCTACTGACGTGCGAGAGATTAGAATCAATAAATTGGTAGATATCCATCTATCTATTTATTTGGAATAAAAATGGAAAAATTATAAAGAAAAATTTGAATGTTGTACTTTAGGCGCAAGCTCTAAAAACGATGCTAAAAATTTTTGTTATATAAATTATTTATTGTAAAACACGGTTATTTCATAGTGCCTATAAGTTTCGGTGTTTGCCGAGCTTTTATTGTTAGTTATTATTTCTTTTTATTGGGCATTATGTGCTTATAAAGCATAAATTCTGAAGCGAGACTTCTTTAAAAAATCTTGACAGGAAACAACAATCCTAAACTAGCTGATAAAATTAATGTACTGACTGGACCATATTTTGTATAACTTGTTGCCGGTTTACCTTACCTCCAAATCTGAGTGTTATAAAAAAAGTGTGAAGGAAAAAGTTGTTTCCAGTAAAATGATCTTGAATTTTGTGTATTATTTCAATTGTCACTCAATTATAAGCAGGGTGGCCAATAAAGTTACATTTTTCAAAATAAATAAAATAAATATCTATATATCGCTCTCTAATTCACCGGGATTAAGGTCTTTGTTACGTTGCATTTAAAAAATTTTAACATAATTTTAAAAATTGAAATATTTTTATGAAATACACGTTGCTGCCATGCAAAATGTTTATTTAATTTAACTATTTTTTTTAAACAAACGCTCTTTATAGTTTTGCATTTTCGGATAGACTTTAAAAAGACAAATCCAGCGATATATATTTCAAATTTATTGGTGATTGTTATCAATTCCGAGGAAATATTAACTCAATTCATTACATTTCTTAGCTCTTTTATGAAATTGCTGGTTATTTGAAATTCCGTTAAATATTGTAAAAAAAATATATTAGAAAATAAATAAATGAATAAATATTATTTCAATCAATCATTGAGGTGTTTTCTCATTTGAAAATGTATAGAAAATGTTTATATTGAAAATAATAAAAGTCCGAAGGTATAGAGCCAAATTTCCTGAAACCTCCACCCATCTAGCAGCTTCAGATCTGGACTTAAACAAGCGGATTTTAATTTAAGGTTAGAGTTTTGTAACTTGATGGATAGATATTTCTTGGATAACATCTTTCAAAATGTCATTTGGACTGACGAATTGATATTTAAAAGAGCAGTAACATTCCTGGAACAGAACATCCCTATTTGATAAACAAAATTGCTTTCGAAAAATCGTCGCTGGGCGGGTTAAGTTCGAAGGGCCTTGTTTTTGAATTTGCGACGTACATTTTTGAAAAATTTTCTGCGTCTTCTTGTTTTAGGTCGCGTAAACCGGTTTGGAGAAATGATTTTTTCTTAGATCCTGGCAAACGCGATTTTTTATTTTTTGAAAATACTTCCCGACTCCCCAGTCGTCCCAATTTCGATAGGTCCCGTCAGGGAACAAAGCTTTATACGTGTGCCAAAAATGGAATAGATAGTTTCAACTTTCGAACACTTATCGTTTTTCATAGGAATGTAAAAAAATTGTCGAAAAAAGAAAAAAAAAAGATGGACGCTGAGTTCTGATCGCTGTCATTTTTATTGACTTGTGTGTTCCGCGGGCTTATTAACGGGAGCCAAATTTGAACATGGTTCGTCAAACCGCTCGAAACTTATGGCCAATTAATACCGCGTCTGCTGAGAAACGGAGAACAGAGAACGGAAAAGACACCAAAAAATTTTTTTTTCGACGCCGATCATTTCTGTACCAATGGCGGTCCTTTAGAACCAACCATTGCAGAGATATAGTAATTTTTAAACGGACATTTTTGACAATGAATTGGGCAAAATGGCACCATTTTGTGGTCACCAAGGAGCCCGGATTTAAACCCACTATACTTCTTTTTACGGCGCCCTTTAAAAGAAATAGTATACTAAAATAAGTCGATAGAGGTTTTTTGCATTACAACAACAAGTTCTGGAAGGATTTAACCAATTAAATGCGACCAATTATATATTAAATACCAATACATGTGGAAAATTTAATATAAAATTAAAGTTTTATAATTAAAAAGTTTTGTGTCAAATGTTGATGCCGTTTTAAAAATAAAATGATCTAAAATTTGACAAAAAATGTTAAAGATGCTTTTAGAATTAATGGTAATTGTATGTTAAAGGTCATATGTAGGGTGTTTGATTTCAAAACAATTGAGAGGAATAACATAATTCAAAACATTCCGTTGATAAAAATATTTCAATCTTGAATATTGCCTGAGAAACAATATTATTTTATGAATTATGTTAAACAGAAAAATGTTTTAAAAGTTAATAAACTATGTAACAATAACCTTTTCAACATAACCTGAATCCCGAAGATTTTCGCTAATAACGGTGCATTGGAGGCCAATATTATTATATATTATTTTATTTACTTTAGGAGTATTTAAAAATTAAAAAATAGGGTTTTCCATTTAAAAAATATAGCTTTATTCGACAACCCTGTGTGTAACTGAGTAAATAGAAAAATTAACGAAACATTTTTTTTTAAATCTCATAGTTTTCGAAATAACAAAACCAAAAATATTTGATAACAGCTGTGAGCTATTTTCAACATTGCAACTTTCAACATTGCAACTTTCAACATTGCAACTTGGCTTTAAAACTTTTATGAACTTAATATTGGCGCACCTTATTATAACTGGGACGATATTGCCCCATTGTACTTTGTTATCATTGATAATATTTTAATATCGAGATTTGGTTTTCATATTGGTTCTCGGTGTTCATCCAGATCGATAATTCCCCGTGATCCCCAACGAAGATCTCTCCTCAGTTATTTTCCAGACTATAAAGATTTTTATGTATTTTAAACGTAGATACGAGAATTGGCGTTCCGTTTTAATACCGACTGCACGTGCCCTTCTATATACCACCCTTTGCGTCATTGTTTTACTTGATGTATATTACCTTTTGTCCAGTTGCGGTCCATGCTGGCCAATGAAAGAAATGGGCTAATGCCAGAATGCAGTAATCCGAAACTCTGGGCAAACTGTAGCAAACCAGGGCTGACTCCATCTTCAGATATTAAATCGATAAGTTCGCATATAGTATCGGGCATCCAGAGAAAAAAGAAAAACATCGCCATCAACAGCATAAAATACCCCAGACGTTTTCTATTCTTCAATGTTTTCAATGCTGTACCCTCGGGTACTGCTGTTGCATCTGTCGCTTCCATTTCGTCCTGTGGAAATCAATAAATACACCTCATACTCTTTTATGTTAGTTTGTAAATCCATTAAAATTACTACATTATTTGGATCACTATTATTTTGAGCAATTGGTGCTAGTAACTTGATTAAAATAATTGAAAATTAAAAATCGCATCTGTAATAACAAAATTAACAAAAATCTTACTATAGCATATTATTCATAATTATTCATATGTATTGTTTGCAATTAATACTTGGTAAAATCAGCCAATAACTCAAAGTTAGAAAATGGCGACATACTTGTACATCTTTATTTAGAGGAACTAAAATTTTTGTTTTATTTTTTAAATAACAAAATTAATTTGGGGCAGTTTAAAAAAAAAGAAAAAGTGTTCTTACAAAATTTAAATACAAATTAATGCTTGGTAAAATCAACAAATAACTCAAAGTCGGAAAATGTTAGCCCTGTAAATCAGTTTTAATTAATTCTTCATGAATTATAATTAAAAGTGTGGAAAGATTCTTGTACATCTTTATTTAGAAGAATTGCCATAATTAAAATTTTTATTTTATTTTTTTTAAATAAAAATGGGCAAATTTTTTAATTTTTAAAAAAATATTGTAGGCTTACAAAATTTAAATACAAAAATAAGGTAAAATTAAAATCAAGGTTAGTAGCCATGTATTGTTTGCAACTAATGCTTGGTACAATAAACAAATAGCCCAAAATCTGAAAATATTAGACCTGTAAATCAGTTTTAATTGAATTATTCAAAGTACGGAAAGATGCATGTATAGCTTTAATTAGAAGAAATACTGTAACTAAAATCTATGGTTTGGTTTTTTTATTTGCCAATTTAATTTATTAACAAATTTAACAAATGGACCATTTTTTTAAATTTTTGAAAAAATATTGTAAATAAATGAAATTCAAAACAAATGACTTCTAAGAAAAGTTATTTTCTACATTTTGAGATAAGGTAAACTACTTTATTTTGCATAATTTTGTTGATATGCCATACAATTAGAAATGTGAAAGATTTTAAATTGGAAAAATAAGCGACTGCTGTACTGAGAGTAATTCATATTATCCATATATTTATTTAAATTATTTGTACGAGATTGCCAAAATCAATATATGTTTTGTAATAGACAGAATATAGGTTCTTGTGTCTACTGGAACAATAACAATTTTGGTATTTCGAATGGAAAATTCTAAATAAATTTCTCGTTAAAAATAACATAACAATAATAACATTTGGCAGAACACATTGGCAAACAGTGCGGTTAGACCTAACAGAAGTTTTGAATAAATTGTTTATTTAATTTAATTACTTTTTGGAGCTGGTCTCTCAAAAACCAAGACGATATACTTTGAGACACACTATACTAGACATTACACTGCCGCTACACTGTTCATTCCGTTCGTATGGTTTTAAATAAAGTCTCTTTTCCATAAAAAACGGATCAGCATGGATTAACGAATATATGCGAATTTTATAAGCGCACAGCCTGACAGTAGACTTAAAAAGGTTTAATCTGCATATCAAACAGTAGATTTTGCGATTGCATTAAAAACGAGTCGCGACATTACCGCTACGAAGCTTTCTTTTTGATTGCTACTTCAAACTGAAGTAAACCTCGACTCCGTGAAAATTATATTAAGTTTGTTCTTCGGTTCAAATTGTAAACTTAAGAAACATCTGTTCACGCAAGGGTAATAATAGTAATTGTCGTTTATTGTTTGTTTATAGACTCCGTAACATGCGTTTGTTGCCGGTACGTATATAGCAAAAGTATATTAAGGGCGTATAATGAGTAAAACCATTTGGAAAAGGGAAATTGCGAATAACAAGGAGTAATACGAAGTTTACTTCGTAATGAATTTTAATGCAAGGGCGGAAAAAGAAATTTTGAAAGCGCGCTGAAATTCGAAAAGGGTGCCGCAATTATGCAGAACGAGAAGAGATACGAAAAATGTCTCATTGCCCGATATCGTTTTAATCTGCTCGCAACAATACGCTTAAAAACCGCAAGGGGAAATATTTTTTAATATCTACAAGTATTACTTTTTTCGTTTTCTGTCACTGGTCGATGAAAATATTGAGCCGTTCCAAAGAGGAAAGTTTTATTTTGTTTTCGCACAATGCAATTTGTCCTCGTAAATTAAATTGAAGGTAGCTTGAAAAAGACCACGCACTGGCTCCTCTTGCCATGACTTTCTATCGATCAGCATTGTTGAAGCACAGTAGTAGGGCGAATAGGTACAAAAATGTATCATATTTATTGAGTTGTCGTCTGTTGTGACGGTCGTTATGAAAGTTCAAAAATATCCTTTAAAAAATTGGTTTAATTTTAAAAGTTATTGTCTTCTTATATACAAAATGAGTTGGCCCTTGGCCCATCGGTTTTTGCGATTCAGAGGATCTGCTATTCTAGGGGTCTATTATGATTACATTTTTCAATTCATATGATACACGTGACTCAAATGTATCAAAGTTATCAAAGATGATTTTTTTAAAAATTATACCTATATATATATATATACATATATATATATATATATATATATATATATATATATATATATATATATATATATATATATATATATATATATATATATATATATATATATACAGTCGAAACTTGATGTAGCAAAATTGAAGGGATTGCTTTTTTTTCGAAATAGAGTTATAGACACTTGAAAAATAACAATACGCATATGTGTTCTGTAATATTTAATTATTTTATGTACATATTTTAATCTCTATTTAAGAACATTCTATATAATTATTAAAGAACTACATTTAATGGTCATTTCTTTTTGAATTTTTTTAGTATGCCAATATGCATCTCGTCCTCTGTGGTTGAGCAATCCATGAGGCGCGTCCCCCGGGTGGCGGATAGGGGAGCCCAGGCTGTCACGGGCCTGGGTGGCTGGGAAGAAGGAGGCATGAGGAGGTAAAAATCCAATAGGGCTGACAAATAACCAGTCGTGGACCAGCTCACCCTGCCCAGCTGTCGTGTCGTGGCTAAGGGCCTGTACAGGGTATAACGGTGCCGACTGGCTTGAAGTCGGTTGATAAACCAGGCGTCGGGTGCCGGCTCGACGAGTGGGCATGCGACGCGGGGGGTCTGAGCTTCACCACTTGGACCAAGAGGAGTAAACCTCAATAAAAATCCTAAATCCTACGGTGGGGGGTCGGGCCTAGGGGATGCATGACTGGATAGAAGATCAGTCTCTACCGATCCCAACCCCGAGGCACCGGGCGCACCTCGGGGAAGGCAGCCTTACCTCTGCATGCGGGGCTCTGCAGAGGTGGACCGTTTGTTTCCCTAGCTACTCATGGGACCTTTATGGAACCAGAAATGAAATGTGTAAAGGAGAAGGAGGAGGGGCCCCCAGGGGGGCTCCAGTAAGCAGGGGCGTCCTCAGGAAGGCCCCCTCCAAGGGCGATCTGAACAGGATCCCCAGGTCGCCAGCGGGGTGAAGGGCTCGGTACAAACCGGAAACACCACCTGGATGGCACACTGCCCCAGACATAGGAGTGGTGCGGAAAAAAGGAGCGCGAAGAAGAAGAGACTCGCGGTGACGGTTGCGGAACCGCAGACGGGCTCTCTTCCGGCGCCCAGGAATCCTGCCACGCCGTCAACGGAGGGCGGGAAGCAGAAAAGAAAAATGGGAGAGACCACCCAGGTTGGGGCACCTGCCGGGGGTCGGCGGCCGACACGCGGCCCGGCGGAAGCTGGGCCCGGGAAAGGCGGGCCGTCCCGGTGGGGCTCTGAGAGGGGGACTCGGTCCTATGTACAAGCGGCGGCGGGGGGGCCTGAACTGGTGGTGGGCCTCAGAGGACAGGAAACTGACCTGTCTTCCGAGGACCTACTGCGGTTCATAGGGTCTCTTAACCTCCGCATAAGCATGTATATCATGCAGGGGGGGCAATACACCCCTCCCCGGATACGCCTCCACTGTGGAGGAGCCACATCCTGATCGAGATGATGGATGAAGAAACCAGGGAGTGGGTTCGCAGGGAGCTGATCAACGTCAGGCCCTGAGGGCTCGCAAACCTGGTGGAGGTCGATCCGGTAGGATTGAGACTGAGAAGGGCGGCGATCTGGATTCCGGGCCTGGCGGCGGGTGTCTCGAACGAGGCACTAGTCCGCTGCCAGGCAGCTCAGAATGGCCTAGATTGCCGTGCCTGGAGGGTCTGGCAGAGGACGGAGGATGCAAGGGGTACAAGGTTGGTGGTGAGTGTGGACGAGAAATCGGCAAACGCCATCACGGCTACGGGCTCACCTTCTCTTCTGCCTGGTGACTCAGGTAAAAGTGAACCTGGCGGCGCCGAGTCCGCAGGGGGATGAGGTGGCCGCGGGGGGCTCACACGAAGAGGGCTCGTCCATGGAGGTTGGGGGGCCTGTCGGAAAGGCGGCGCCCACGGCTTCTGTGGAAGAGACTTCCGGAGGGCCCTCCGAGGAAGCGAGAACAGAGGAGGTATCTCGGATGGAAGTTGACCGGGGAATCCCATCAGGGTCCACCAGTCAGGTAGCGGAAGCGGAGGGAGGTGCTACCTCGGGCTCGGATTCGGGCTGAGGCTAGCATCGTGACCCGCAGGTGGTATTCCCGTAATAACATCTTCACGGGGATATTACAGATTAACCTGCAACACAGCAGGGCTGCAACGGCACACTTATGCAGGAAAATTTCGGAGGGCGGTACATCCATTGTACTGATCCAAGAGCCCTGGATTGTAAAATCAAGGGTTAGGGGCTTATCTCTGGGAGGATCGATCCTGCATAGTGTCGACTCCTTAGAGGGCGGTCCCAGGGCCTGTATACTAACCATGGGGCTGGAGACCTTTTTCCTAAAGGACAAGGCGTCCAGGGACCTGGTTCCAATTCTGGTCAGATCCCCCATTTTGTATACTTAAAAGGGCTTGTTCTCAATGCAACGTGCCTTAAAATCCGACATTATTGTATAAAATAGTTGGCGAAATGTTGCACAAAAACATTTGCTTTGTTCCGTTGGTTT